CTCTCCCCTCTCCCTCCCTCTCCCTCCCTCTCCCTCCCCCCCACCTCATTATTTGCTGCCCTGGGAATTGAACTCAGCCTTAGCACTGAGATTTCTCCTCAACCCTCTTTTATTTTTTATTTTGAGACAAGGCTCACTAAGTTGCCCAGGCTGGGCTTCAATTTGCAGTTCTCCTACCTCAGCCTCCCAGAGTGCTGCCACACTGGGTTAAAAGTCCTTACTTTAGATTTACTTTGGTAGTGTACATTCTGTGGGTTTGGACAAATGTATACTGACATACAGCCACTGTTGCAGTATCATATGGAGTAGTTTCACTACCCTTTAGAAATCCTCAGTGCTTCACCCTATTAAGTGACTGATTTTGACTTCTGTTACAGGAGCTTGAAATGCAGGCTCGAGCTCATGGACTTTCCCTTATTCCATCCACGGGTCTCTGCTCTGCGGATTTGGTGAATCGGATCATCAAGCAAGAACCAGTTCTTGAGAACTGCAGTCAAGACATTCTGCAGCAACACCCAGACCTGAGCTGCACAACCACCCTGGATCTCACCGATGGTACCATCAGCTTCAACAGCAGCCTGGGGACGGGGCCTGAGAGCAGCCCTGCCTACAGTGTCCCTATGAAAATGGCATCCAAACTGGAAGACATCCTCATGGATGATACTCTCTCTCCTGTTGGTGTGACTGACCCACTCCTGTCGTCCGTATCCCCAGGAGCCTCCAAAACAAGCAGCCGGAGGAGCAGCATGAGCATGGAAGAGACAGAGCATGCATGTTAGCAAGGCCTCCCCACTCCACTCACACAAACTGCTTCCTGTCTTGATTAGTAGACTTCATAGTTCACCTGAAGGGGTTTTCTTGATAATTTTCCCTCCTTAATATGAATTTTTTTTCATGCTTTATCAATAGCCCAGGATATATTTTATTTTTAGAATTTTGTGAAACAGACTTGTATATTCTATTTTACAACTACAAATGCCTCCAAAGTATTGTACAGTAAGTGTGCAGTATCTGTGAACTGAGTTCACCTCCAGCACAAGCTGTCTGAGCAAGAAGATTTTGCATCAGAGAAGTGTCTATCCATTTTTATTCAGGGTAAAACTTGATTTGAGATTTTTATGCCTGTGACTTCCTTGGAAATTAAATGTAAAGTTTAAGTAAAAGAATGTAAAGCAACCATAAACAGAAAGGAAGAAAGAAACCTTCATACTAAACCTTTTCCATTTTATAAATGTATTGATTCATTGGTACTGCCTTCATATACAGTACCTTTCTACCATTGTTTAGTCTTTATACTGCAAACTATTGAAAGAACTGGTATATTCTGTAAAAGACAAAACAAGTGGTCATTTTAATAACAATTATCTGGTTAGAACATATAATTGATAACCAAAATTGAAAGGAGCCTGACCAAAGCTCTAGAACAGTTAGTCTTGGTCTGTTTTACTCTCTGCAGTTAGTTTTCTTCATTAATGAATTAATGAGTGTGATGCAATTTTTCATACGATATTTTCATTTGAAATGGAAATGAATGTCCTCTCACAGTTAAATATTGAGGAGCACTGAAAGTTTTTTTTTTTCCTCATTTTTGCTTTTGATAAGAGAACCAAACTGGGCACATTTCTAATTGGCTTTACAATTTTTATTTTTAAATTATGTTTGAGTCTTTGATTTGTACAGACTTTTATTATCATCGTTCTTTTCAGTGTTTGTATTAATTTCTAAGAATATGCATCTTAAAATTGCAAGTTTTCAGTATTTTTACAACTCACTGGTAGTTTTCTGCATTCTTTGTACACCCATGAAAGAAAACTTTTTTGCAAGGTCTTGTGTATAAAGAGAGCTTTCAAAATATTTTATATATTACAGTCTCAGAACTGTTTTTCAGCACATTTAAGGTTTAGTATTAATAGGTTAAATCCTGGCTTTCTAGAAAGAATAAACTTATGTATTTATTTTTAGGATATAAAAAATAGCAATATTCTTGGAGACTGATAACCATAGTATTACTATGCCCATTATGGTTATTAAAATTGGGGTTTATTTCAGCAAACTCACTGGATTTTTTTAAAGAGAAAAATACTGGATTGGCAAATTACTGTTACTTGATAACAATGTTTTAACAAGCAGCAATGTTGTAAAGTTAGTTTCAGTGCATTATCTCTTTGTGTAGCCCTATGCAATAACAGTAGTGTTATATGTATCAAGCCTAGGTGTTTTATACAGATGACATATCATGTTATAAGCCAGGCTGGGGAATGGAATTTCTCAGTAGCAGCCTACAATTGAATAGCGAGTGGCATAAAGCATATCCATTCAGAATGAAGTGCCTTAAATATAACAGTAGTCTTTTTTGGACTAGCACTGACTGAACTGTAATGTAGGAGAAAGTTTCAAGATGGTATCTCTAGTCGACAGGAACATGTAGCATGGTGCCTATGTAGACCATATAAGAGCTTCCAATTTTCCTTCACATATTTTTAATATGAAACATATTTTAGTGACAGAGTGCCAACTTCTTTCATCAAGAAACCTTATTCAGAAGGTTTTTTTAAAAGTGTTTAAATGTCAAATGTGAATTGGTGGTGGGTGATGGAGGGATGGGAGAGGAGTAATTGTCAGCTGTGTGAATGGATGGCATCAGTGTTAATAATCAACTACGTCATCCCCAGGCACGTTGGGCAACAAGACTCCTTAGACTCGTAGGAAACACTGATGATGCTATTACTTTTATAGCTTTATTACTTAAGGGGGTAGGGAAGATTAGTTCCCATTATTTTAACCCTCTTAATTGTATAGCTCTTTTCCTAGAATAGTGATGCAAATCTGCATGAACAGCAAACTGTATCTTAGTGTTCATTGATACAATCATAGTATCGTCTACTTTTCTCTTCATATTTATATGGGGGGAGGGGACTGGGTGTGAAAGTGGAAGATGGTGATGCTATGATGCCAGTTTTTTTAAGCTGATCTTGAGGGGTTTTAGCAATAAACCCAACGTTAACTGACTATGGCCGAAGGAATACAGCCATGGTGAAGCAGCCTTCTGGAAAGCTTTGTTGAGAGAGTGTATGGCATCTTGTACCACTGCCTAAATCCTGCGACTCCTGAGCTGTCATCTCCTACTTCCCTGTGACCTTCTTAAGACACAGTTGCTGAGAGTGGCAGGTGAGCAAGCTCAGGAGAATGCTGCAACCCTGGGGGGTGGTTTTATTTCTTTCTTTTTTGCCAAACAGTATGTGGATTCATCTTAGGGACTATTTAAGCCAAGAGGCAATGTTTGGGGCTTGCTGTTTTTAACAAGAGAATGATCCACACCACTCCCCCCATCCCTGGGTGCAGAATTGTGGCTCAGGGTTGGGCCTCCATTTGGGGTGACCAAAATACCATAATTGTCCACCTGCCTCTAGGTAAGACAATGGACATACCAAACCTTCTGACTTTGCCAAAAACTGTACAAGCAACCTGGTCATACATCAAAGATGACAAACTTCTTTCTGGTTGTTTTTAAACAATAAAGCAATAAGAACAAATAAAATACATAGGACATTAAAAGATATAAAATAAAGCACAAAAGAATGCACTTAGTAATACTTTTGAAAAATGCACTGGGGAAGAGTTGATGTTGATAGCAGTATAAAAACCCTATTTCTTGATAAAATGACAAGTGACTGTCTCTTGTGGACACTTGGTACTGTAATGTTAATAATAGTCACCTGCTGTTGGATACAGCAATAATTTCTGTACGGTCCATAGAAATGTACATTATGGATTGATATTAATGTATCCAATGAAACAATTGAACTGTTGTTCCTGGTAGCTTCATTAAAGCATTTGGTTTTTCACATAGTGATGGTCAGTTGTGTTTAGTTAAAGCCAGTTCTGAATGGGTTTTTTCCCCCCTTTCCCCTCAACTTCAACCCCTCCGTCCCTCCCTATTTACAAAGACTTTGTTTCCATGTTTTCATTTTCTCATATTAATTCCATTCCCTTCTTTCCTTTCCCCTACCCCTACCACTTCCCCTTCCACTTTGCCCCTTTTCTTCCTATTTCACATTATCCTTTATACCTTTTAGTCCTTATTTACACTTTCAGTTTCTCACACTAAAGAAACTATTCAGTATTTACACGTGTGTCCTATTTATTTCACTTAAGAGTAGCACCTCAATGTGCATCCATTTAGCTATAAATGTCTCTAATTTCTCATTTTTATGGCTAAGTAGTACTCCATTTTATAAAAAACGCCTACATTGTCCTTATGTAGTGTCTAGTTGATGGGCAATTGGGCTGCTTCCAAGCTTTAGCTATTACAAATCGTGCTGCTATGAACATGGGTGCACATATATCACTGTGGTATGATTCTTTTAATTCTTTGGGGAAGATCCCCAGCAGAGGAATAGCTGGGTCAAATGGGACTTCCAGTCCTAGTTCTTTGAGGTAGCTCCATACTGATTTCCACAGTGGTTGCACCAGTCTACACTCCCACCAGCAGTGGAGCAGTGTTCCTCTTTCCCCACAGCCCCTCCAGCATTTGTTATTGGCTGATTTCATGATAGCAGCCATGGGGTGCTTTCTGGGGTGACGTGGAATCAGTGTTGTTTCCATTTGCATCTCTCAAGTGATCAGTGATGTTCAACATTTTTTTTTATGTTTATTTGCTATTTCTACTTTGAGAAATGTCTGTTCATTTCAGATGCCCATTTTTGGATTGGGTCTTTATATTTGGGAGGTCTGATTTTTTAAAATTCTTTATACATTCCAGATAGTAGACCTTTGTCTGAGGGACAGCTAGTGAAAATTTTTTGCCACATTGTGCGTTGTCTCTTCACACTCCTGATGGTTTCTCTTGCTGTTCAGAAGCCTTTTAGTAAGAAGAGATCCCACTTGTTGATTGTTTTTGCTAGTTCACAGGCAACTGAGGTTTTATTCGTAAAATCTTTTCCTTCACCAATGTCTTCAAGAGTTCTACCTAACCTCTGTTCCAGCCAGTTCAGCATTTATGTTTTAGTATTCAGATTTTTAATCCATTTTGATTTTAGTTTAGTGCGTGGTGAGAGATATGGGTCTAATTTTAATCTTTGGCAAGTGGAAACTCAATTTTTCCAGCACTATTAAAGAGGCTATCTTTCCTCCAGTGACGGTGTTTTGCCCCTTTGTCAAAGATGAGGTGGCTGAGTGTGTCTGGAGTTGTTTCTGCATCTTCTAATCTGTTCCACTGGTGCTTAGGTCTGTTTCTTTGCCAGTACCATGCTGTTTTAATCACAATAGCTTTGTAGTATAGTTTCAAGTTGGGGATTATGATACCCGCTGCCATGTCTCTGTTGCCTACAATTGCTTTTGCTCTTCTAGGTCTCTTCTTGTTCCAAATGAATGTTGGGATTGTTTTGTCAAGGTCCATGAAGTATGCTCCTGGGATTTCAATTGAGATTGCATTGAATCTATATAGCAGTATTGGAAGTATGACCATTTTCACTATGTTGATTCTTCCTACCCAGGAGCAAGGGATGTCTTTCCATTTTCTGATATCCTCTTCGATCTCTCTTTTCAGAGTGCTATAGTTTTCAGAGAAGAGGTCTTTGATTTCTTTTGTTAGGTTGATT